ATCTCATTTGCATCTATTAACAATCTGATAATAATTTATGCATTAAAATATCTAAATTAGTGTTAATTAAAATAAATTATCATCTCATTCAGTTGAGTTTAGAATTTATGTATATATGAGAGAACATTTCATACCATATTATACAACTTGATAAAAAATTCAACATTTTTAATGTTGTCTGACAAAATTTTAATATTCAATAAACATCATATTATTTGACAATTTTTTTAAACATCTAATATAAATATGATTCATTGATTGAGATACAATGAAATTCACATGACCGTTATGATGCTTACAATTTCTATTGTGAATATGCACATAAAGAAATTTGTAGTTATAATTAAAATGCATAAAATTTTCAAAATGACTCATATGAGATACAAAATATGGAATATTATTGCAAAAAAAAATGAGATCCGGAATAATGCAACAAATTATGAAAAATCCAGACAATGCATCATAATACGAAATAAGAACATGTTATAATTCAAAATTATGTCTTCAACTAGAGAGATAAAGTGAAATATATAAAGTGACGTATTTTTCTATTAATTTTCATCACAAAGTTAAAATAATTAAACTATTAGCATCTCTTTTGCTTCAGTTTAGCATTTTGACAACATGTATTCATTGTTAGTATTAAAATATTCTAAGTTATTGTTAACTAAAATAAATTAGCATTCTATTTTATTGATTATGATAAATTATTTTATACTATATTATTCATTGTGATATTTGATGAGATTTAAATATGAAATTCAATATTTTTTATATTTTTTGAAAACATTTTAAATTTCAATAAAAATATATTATTTGATATTTTTTAGTATCTAGTATATACATAATTCATAGATTGATATATATTAAAGTTTTTAATTTGAATTACGTGTTAAAATGTCCAAACTATTTTTAATTATGTGAAAGCATTTTAATATGTATTTACATTCATTGTTGTATTCAAATACCCAGATTATTGTCAATTGAAACAAAAATTGTTCTAAACTATTCGAAACTCTTTGGCAAGAGCCGGAAGAACATCTTCTCACTTCCCTTGACGAATCAAAAGATTCAGACCTTTTATCATTAACACTAATTTTAAACTTCAACACTTTCAGGTCTTATCTGCTACATATAGTTCGTCTAGTGTAACGTACTTTGTTAGGCCTCGTTTGCAAGCTATTAGATTCGGGAGTTTACCAAAAGCGTATCCAAAGTCTAGCGACAGCGAATTTCAACGTTATCAAAAAATAAAATGTAAAAAATTGTGCTCTTAGAGCTGCAAAAGATTGCGGGAGACCACTCTCTCGATAACCCACATCCAAAATAATTATTTCAATTAGGTCAAAAAACTTCCTTGAAAATTTTAATTTTTTTTTCCTTATAGAATTGAAGGAATACATAAATAGATTTATTTATCTGAAGAGATGGAGATGATTTTGAGAGCAACATCAAAGAGAGGAGTGATTCATGTAGATTTATTGAGGCTATCCACAACACAGAAACCCATCCAGGGTTTCTTCCAATTCTCTCTCATGTGCCACGTCAGTTTCTCTCTCCGCCACGTCACGAAAAACTCCAACTATATTTTACATTCACATCAAAGAACCCTTTAAAATCTTTACTTTTTCCACCTCATTAAATATTTTATCTATTTATAAAATAAAATTATATTTTGCAATCATATTTTATTCTTATAATATTTAATAAAAATAAAACAATTATTTAGCATAAATAAATAAAAATAATAATTTCACACTTTGCATAATAATTAAAGTTAAATATTTAATTTTTTTATTTCTTGAAAAATATATTTCAAATTATAAATATTAAATAAAATTTTATATAACAAAATTAGAATATAATATTTTAAATAAAATAAATTATTATAAATATAAATAAAAAAGTATATATTATAAATATTATTTTTAATATTTATTGAATAAGAAAATGGACCATGGCCCACAAAAATTGGAAGAAACGGTACACTCGCAATGTACCGTTTCTTATGTTAATTGGTGTTTTAATTTTTTTTTTTATTTAATAAATGATGACGTGGGAGGCGCTTCTCAACAAGCGTCTCCCGTTGTGGATGCCCTGAGTCGTGCATATTTTTATTTACTTATTTCATATCAATTCTTCAGAGGAAAGGAAGCAATTCGATCGGAGAAAATAAAATAATTTTTAATTTTAATTTAAAATTATTTTTATTTTTATTATACAATAATTATTTTTACTAATACATTTTTAATTATTTACTACTTATACCCCTACTAAATTCTCGTGTCTACTATCGTAGCCGGAACGGAAGGAGTATTATATAGTAATAATAATCATTATTAATTTTAATATTATTATTTATATTATATTTTCTATAATTTTCTCTTTTTTCTAAATAAAGAAAATTTTGGATTCCATTATTTTAATAATTTATACTATTTTTTATTATATATATTTTTGTTGTATTTTGATATTTTTTATATTAATAGATTTTGAATTATATAATTATTTAATGTAATATTAAGTATTTATGTAATATTTTATATAAAGAATTTTTTTTTTATATGATGCAAATTGCCTAAGTAATATAAAAAAATAATATTTTGTATTGAATTATTAAATTTTTAAAAATAAATACAGTATATGGAGTATATTATATATATATATTGTGTGGACGTGTGTATATAAGTAAAATACTATGTTAATTTATTTAAAAGATAATTATTTACTTTTAATATAAAATTTAATAAATATTTTAATTGTAATTTGCGGTATTATTTGTATGCAAAATCTCCCTCCATTAGTTAATTTAATTTTATCACGTTGGGGTCAACATCATAATTATGAAAAATAAATATTAAAAAGTGATAAAAATAAAAAAGATAGTTAAAGATATTTGTAAAACTTTAAAGAGCATGAGGAAAGAAAAATATGAATATAGTTTAATAACAGTGATATGTTTTATAAGTAAATATTGAATGAAAGATTATAGTTAAATATTTATATTTTGATTTTGTCGAAATTAATAATAGGATAAATTTAATGAGACAAACATTAAAAAAATAAAAATATATTTGATAAGCAGAGAAAATATTATTTTTTATTTTATTTTAATTTGATATAATAATATCGATATAAATAATCATAAACTTAAAAATATTTGTAGTAAGTAATAGATTTAATATTTACTCAAACTCAAGTTGTATTTGAAAGACTTTAAATGACATAATAGTAACATTTCAAATAAATAAAAATAATATTCCATTATTATAAATATTACAAAAAACAATCAAATGAACAATATATTTTTATTTTGACATTTTACAATTTTAATAATTTTAAGTATATTTATTAGTATATACTCCCTCCGTCCAGTTAGAAAGTATACATATTTTTATTTTAGAATGTCCAATTAAAAAGTAAACATTTCATTAAATACCTTACTTTTTTCCACAAATACCTTTACATCACATCATTACTTTTACACCAAAAAGTAAGGGTAAAAATGTCGTTACACTACTTTTAACTACCTACTATAATTAAAATATTATTATTTATTAAACACCGCTCCAAAAGTAAATGTTTACTTTGTGTGTGGACGGAGGGAGTATGTAAATTAAAAATATATACTTCATATACTCTATCTTTCCAACTAATTTGTCTCATTTAGTTTTTATATATTGTGTAATTAGTAAAAAAAAGTAAAAAGTATATTAGTGAAAATAATTATAATTTAAATTAATTACATATTAAGATTAAAATGACTGAATAATTTAATTTAAATAAAAAATTTTAAAATATGATTAAAGTGTATAATTATATTTAAAAAAATTGACAAATTATGTGAGACAGAATTAAATGAGAATGGAAGAGTATTACTCCTATTTAAAATCCCTGCATATATAACAGGGATTAACTAGTTTTAAAAATATATAAATTCAAAGAATATTGTAACAACAATAAGATGTAGGACCTTTTACATATATGATACTATTATTTTTAAAATATGTATCTCTTTGTTTATTTTGCTCGATTTAACTCATTTTATATTATTTAATTTTTTAATAAATATCACATTAAATATATTTTTTTTTTCACAAAATATTATATCAAATATTAATTAATTATTTATTTTTTTACTTCTAAAAACCTCTGAAACTCTCTATCTAAACAAAATCTCTTATGGAGGGTTTCGTCACGCAGTTTTTGAATGGATTGATATTAAATTTTTTAATAAGTATTTGAAATTTATTTTTATTTTTATAAAAATATTTTGTATTTTTTATTATTCTCTTTGTTCTACTTAAATTGTGTTAGATACGAAATTTTAGGTATTGGGTAAATAGTAAGTAATTAAAAAATGTATTAGTAAAAATAATATTATTTAATAAAAATAATTATAAATTAAGATGATTAAATAGTTTAATTAAAATAAAAAAATTAAATTTTAAAATACAACTTAAAGTAATTTTCTTTTTTAAATCGCAATTAAAAATAATATTTTAAGGTCTTGGTTGCCCTTGCGCTCCGAGTCGTGCCAAATTTTAAGTGTTCGTTAACGTTCGCGAACAAGGCTCGTGTTCGTTCGTTAAGCTTTCGAGCTCGTTCGTAGTGTTCGAGTTTGGCTCGTTAAGAATTTTTGTTGTTTGAGCTCGTATTCGTGTTCGTGTTCGACTCATTTAGGCTCGATTAAGCTCGTTCGAGCTTATTTGCCTTATTTTTTTATTTATTTATAAATTATAATTTTATATGTATGTATAATATTTATAATAAATATATTATTTAAACGAATCGTTAGCAAACGTTCGCGAACAAAGCTCGGACTCGTTCGTTAATCAAACGAACCTGTTTATATTGTTCGGCTCGGCTCGTTAACGTTCGCGAACATGCTATAACCGAGTCGAATCGAGCTGAGTTCACGAACAGCTCGGTTCGTTTAACTGCTCTAACCTTGTGTATATAAATTGACAATGTTAGTGCGGGTGTGTGAGTGCGTACAAACAAAACGTGATATGATAGTTTCAGCTTCCCTCTGCTAAATTACAGGAAGTTTCTGGAGATCGATCGAGCACTTGTAGTAGTTACTTTACAGATCTCATTACTGAAACCAGACACCCATCCATATTCGTAATCAGTAAGTACATTCTCAAGTGTTGTTGTTTTCAATTTCAATTCAAATCGTTTGTGTTTCTCTGGAACGACCATGCGCAGCTAATTCTATTTGTTTATTCTCAATTTTTCTGATTCCGAATCGGATTTTTTGATTTGAATTGCAATCCTGAAATGAAATGAAGTCTGCTATAATTCGTTGGAAATATATATATATATATATATATATATGTAGTGTTTGTAGCAGCAGCAGTAGCAGCAGGAGAGTTGGTGCGCGGCGGCGTGCGCAGGAAGTTTGAATGGTTGGTGTTGAAATTGGTGGAAATATTTTGGTGTATTTGGAGGTGTGGGGATGAAGTGTTGGCGGTGGTGAAGATGAAAGTGGCGATGATGATGATGGTGAAGCAGTTTCCGACGGAGCCGCCGCACTGGCGGTTCTGTTACTCTATGTTCAATAATGTTCCCTTCATTCCCTTCGCTCTGCACCACATCGACGCCCATCTTCGCGACGCTGTAAGTCACTCCCTGCCCTCGTTCCTTACCTTTTTCTAGCTTGGGCTTTGAATTTTGAGTTCATTTGAACAGTAAAAGTTTTGGAATTGTAATACTTAAGATATAAATAAGTATTTGATGTGATATTTTGAATGTAAAATTAATTTTTAATATAATATTAAAAAAATATAAATTTTTGATTTGATGTTTGTCGATTTTTTTTTTAAATAATGAAAATTGGAGAAAATCTCCCAAACAAACACATCATTTGTTTCTGGATTTGTTCAACCAACAATTTATGTGACCGAATTTTCGATAAATATTAATAAAAAATTACTCCCTCCGTCCTATAATTACATATCCGTTTTTTTTTTACGGAGTTTTAGAAATATTAATAATATACTGGGATGTAGTAAGAATAAAATAAAAATGACTAAAATAACCTTATTAGTATTGTGTGATATAAATGTAATGACATTTGTGTAATATATTGTAAGTTGTAAGGATATTTGTAATGATAAGTAGACAGTACAATTATTAAAACAAGAAATTGATACTTTATTCTGAAACGGACTAAAATGAAAAAATAGATAGTTTGTTATGAGACGGAGGGAGTATATAAATAATAGGTAAAATTGTTCATAACTCCTTGTGATTTCGAAATTCAACGTAAATCTCCTATTTATTTTAAAAATTGCATGACTGCTCCCTTGTACTTTCAATCAAACAAACTAGAAGTAGTTTATGTTAATCATAGATAAATAAATATATATATTTTTATTTATTTGTATAACATAAAATTTTATTCTTTATAAAATAATTTTTAAAGATCTATATTAAATTTTTTTAATTATATATATTAATTCTTATTTTAAAATACTAACAATAGCATTTATATAAAAAGTAATAAAATAATATCATAACAATTATTATTAACATATTAAATTATACTAGCTAAAATACAATATTCTTAACCAAAGAGGTCATTTTAGCTGAAGGGAATATAATTAATTATTTGTGATATAAAATTAAAAAATTAAAAATATAAAAGTGAATTAATGACGCACATAATTAAGTGCGAAAACAATATTATTTATTATTAAATAAATATAATATTACATAAAGTAGGAGTATTTTGATCTTTTAAAATTACTTTTACATCCATTATCAATATAATACTATTATTTTTTAATTCCCGTCAATTTCAAATATAGTTTTGAGACGGATGAAGTATATTTTTATTAAATGTTTTGTGATTAGAATAATGCTAATTTTAATTTTAAAAAAAAACAATAATAAATTAGATATGAACTATTTTTAAATTGAATTTAGATTAACAATTGTTATTGTTTTGGTTACAAGTTAATTCTAAGCTATGCTTTAATTTTTTAAATCTAATATATTTCTCCCTTTCTTTCTTTTTTTTTCTTTTTTTTTTTTTTTAAGTTGAAGCTCACTTTTAATATTTTATTTTATTTTATTTTATCTCATATAAATATATATATTTAATTTTTTTTATATTTTATAAACTAATGTATGTTAATGTATGGAATTATATGTTTATTTATTCTTTAGAGAATTTAATCTAATGTACTGTATTAGAAATATAAATTTTAAAACATTCAAAATATATTTTAAAAATTAGTGTGTTCTATTTGCAAGTGATTTTAATTTTTGGATTTAAGTTTTGGTTTCAACTTATGATAAATTAATACTATCTTATCATTCAACAATTAAATTTCAAACTCTACACTCTAATTTGCAACCAAAATCAACTTTAGGGTTTCTTCCTTTAGTATTTTAAACCAAAATTAATACTATTCGTTTTACACAATTTTTAATAAACATATACTATTTTTTTCACAAAACATCACATCAAAATATTTTTTAAACAAAAATTTAAATCAATATCACATTTTAAATTAATTTCAAACCACAACCTAAATTTACGATGAATCTTATTTACATGAACAAAAAAATTAGTGTGTTTGTTTTTGTCTTTAATCTATAGGGATCTACAAGTTATTTATTATATCCTAAAATTTTCAGATTTGCGTATTCTATCTCGTTCTTCGAGCACTCGATACCATTGGTAAGATCTATTTTTTAAGAGTCGTTTTGTTAATAACTTAGCTCGTGATATTGATCTTATTTATTTATTTATTTATTTTCTACCCTGAAGAGGATGATTCGAGCATAGAAACAGAGGTTAAAGCACCAATTTTACGGGCTTTCCATCGTCATATATACAACAGAGATTGGCATTTTTCATGTAAGTTTTTGTTAAAAAGTAAAACATGCGTAATTTGCACCGATTGATTAATTCCTCGATTTGTTAGAATTTATTAGAAGCATTTAACAAGACAAAATCAATAATTTTAAAGGAACCAAGAACACAATAGTTGTATTTGACGGTTTCCAATAAAATTACATATTTTTCTTCATCACAAAACACTATTATCATCACAAAACACTATTATCTAAATCAGAATTATCAAAGTTTTGTTCATTTAAACAAAATTCTTGATAATATTTTTTCAAAAAATTAATATATTACACATCTTCTTTATTTTTATATTACTTGTACAATTTCTTATACGTCATATAAAAAAAATTTTCAAATCAAAACACAGACCAAACACACCCCAAAGCTTAAACAAACCCCATTCAAACTTTCACTCCAATCAAACTAAACAACCCTATATTATTGTTAACTTTTATATAATTTTAAATAGTATTTTAATATAATATTTTATATAAAAAATAGTATTATTTTTTTATGATAAAAAATAATATATTTTTATTTGAAACTTGTTGATTGCACAAAAATTAATTTGAATTTCAAATCAAACAACCCGTGTAAACTTGTTCACTTATATTTTCAGTATACACCAGAGGCGTAACCAAACCAGGATGAAAGGGGGGGGGCTAATTTTTAAAATTTTGAAACGATCATCATCTATTTTTATCCAATAATTTTATCAATGAAGTTATCATATTTCGAAATGAAATATCAATCTACATTGACAACTGCATATTACAAGATGAATTTTGTATTATATGAAATTGATAAATAATAAAAACATTTATTAAAAAAAAAAGCTGTTAAAAATATCATTTTCGGTGTATTTGGTTGAGAAATTTTTGAAGATTTTTTTTTTATTATTATTTATTACTTTTTTGTTCATATCTATTTTTATATTATCAAAAAATTATTATGATATAAATTTTTTTATTATTCAAAATTTAAATTTTCACATAAATATTCTATCAATTTTTTACAATTTTTTAATTTATTTATTATTTTTTATATTATATATTATAAAATAAAAATTAAAAATTATAAGGGGGTGGAGTGGGGGGAGGTTGCCCCCGTACAACCGCCCCTGGTATATATATATATTCATGTACCGTACAATTTATATTTTTTAAATTATAAACTTGAAAATGTTTCTTTTCTCTCAAGATTGAATTTAGAATTGTGAAATTTTTATTTAAATAATATTTAATATGGTATTTTATAAGATAATTTATATTTTTTAGGACATATAGTCTAAATAACAAAAATTTTCTAGAAACATGCTCAAACTTTTTCGACAGATATTAAGAAAAATAACATTTTAATGTTGTTTTTGTTTTTGTATATATATATTAGAAAATATGTAGGAGTACAATTGAAATTTTCATAAAATTGGTAAAGATGTTATGTAAAAAACTGGAGTACATGTTGACTGTTAAAAATATGTGAGAACCATTGGTCTTTGTATAAATAAATGAAAAAAGAAAAAGTGAATAAAAATTTTAAAAATAATTAATGCCTTTTTTTTCCGGTATAAACATAATGGGTGTATTTCTTTGATGAGTTTGAAAAAAAATTGGTTTGAGGTTAATATAAAAATAATATTTGATGAAAAATTTTGCTAAAAAAATATTCTTTGATGAATAAATTAAATGGTAAAACTATCTTAATAAACAGAGAGAATATAAACTATTATAATTCTATTCTTTTCTATTTTTATTTTTCAATTAAACAATATTAGTATCTCAATAACAATATACACATTATATTTATATAATATTATATTCAACAATTATTTTATTTAAAAATTCAATAGAAGTCAAAATATTCAAAAACACAAAAAGACACAACCTATGATTTATTTTTTCTTAATTTGTTTACTATCACTTGAAAAAAAAACTAAAATAGAATTCCAAAATAAAGATTTTGTTTAAATTGAAGGGTTTTTTCTTTTTTGCGTTCTTTTATTATTTAAATATCTTAATTATTTATAAAAATACATTATTTTCTTTAAAAATATATCAAATACTTATTTAAACAAAAACACAAAATACAAATAAATAAATAAACCATAAACACCCAAAAACAACTTTAAAAAATAAAAATATAAACATATCTTTTGGGGTTGACTTTATTTGTTCAAATAGTAATTTCCATGTCATATTTTTTGTAAGCCAAAATAATATAATTTTTATATAAAAATCGCAATAAAAAAATTAAAACAAATTCCAAAAGAAGACAAAAGAAAAACATTTTTCATATACAAAGTAATTAAAAAATACAACTCTTATATATATTTTTTTTGATCGAAAAAATACATCTCTTATATTGTTTACACATCAGGTGGCACGAAGGACTACAAAGTTCTAATGGACGATTTCCATCACGTTTCCACTGCTTTTCTCGAGCTTGATCACAAGTATGTAAACATTTCTTTTTACTTGTAATTTCCATTACATATTTATATTTTCCTTTTCCTTTTCAAATATTCAATTAATTAATTATTTTGCATTTTATACGAAAATTAATTATATATTGAAAATCATATAAGTATCTATTTATATCCATAAAACATTTGTTTCAATTCAAAATTTCAAATAAAAAAAATCTAAATACATATAATTTTAGAGCCGGTAGTAATAGACCAGGAAAATTATACTCCATCGATCTTATAAGAATACAATTTTTCATTTATATTCATTCCAAAATAAAGCTGTCTTTTTAAATTTAAAAATTGTACTACGTAATAAATATTTTTACAATTTACAATATTTAATATAAATTTTATTATTTTTATATATTACACAATACTAATAGGAATATTTTATTATTTTTTTACTATAAATCAATATAATATTAATATAAAATTTTTTTCGTGTAATAAATAAATGATACTTTTTTGGGGACGTAAGAAATATATTATTCACTCCGTCCCATAACAAAGTATTTATTTTCCCATTTTAGTCTGTCTCATAACAAAGTATCCATTTTATTTTTTAGTAATTGTACTATCTACCTAACATTACAAATACCCTTATATCTTACAATATATTACACAAATGTCATTACCTTTATATCACACGTACTAATAAAGTTATTTAAGTTATTTCTACTTTATTCCTACTATATCCCACTATAATACTAATATTTCTAAAAATATTTGCAAAAAGCAAATGGATATTTACTTATAGGACGAAGGGAGGATTATGATTTTTTTTTTTTTTGTTTGGATTTGGTTTCCTCTGATATTTTTTCCCAATATTTTTTATTATGTAATGTCATTTTCTTATAATAAAAATATAGTATCGTTTTTACTTATAAAACATGAGTTTAAAAAATTATTTTACCAAAATAAAGATATACCTTAGTCTATTCTTTTGAAGTTTAGTTTAATTTGATTCTTTTGATTTGGGTTTGAATATCAATTTGAACATGATATTTGGTGAAAATATAATCAATTTATTTATTCAATAACTTTTTGTTAATATAATTTTAATTAAGTCAATAATTAAAATAAAATATTATTTTTCATATTTCGCAGAAATTACTTCAAATTGAAACACTAAATAAACACATCCAATAAATAGACACAACCAATATATTTTTATAGGAAATAAGTATATGGCAAACATATTTGGGTTGATTATTTTTGTAATATACAAAAAGATGGATGACGTAATTGTCAACAAAAGTTGGGATAATATAATGACCTTAATAGCTGTAATTTGTGTATTTCCAGAAAAATCCGTAAGAATGACTTAATTGCAAATACATAATTATCAAACTTAAAATGCACATTACGTGTAAGTTTTATAATTAATTAGTGGAATAAATTTCAGTAAGCAGTTATGTGGTGATTGTATTATAATTAAATTTATAATTTCTGGATCAGAATAGCATATAGAGCAAAACAGTAATTGTGTTTGTTTGTGGGATTTGAATATTTGAATTTTTTAATAATAAATTTTTAAATTTAAATAACTATATAATTCTCACTTTAAGAGTCTTATTTATTTATTTTTTTGTGTTGATATTTAAATATTAATTATTATATCAAAATATAGTTAAATTAAAAAAAATTACAAAAATACTTCTATTAGTGTAAGGATATTTGTAAAAAACCTTATATAAATATGATAATATTTTAAATATTAAGTACAACGACGCTGTGATCCTTAAAGACGGACAGATGGAATATGATATAAATATATATGGATGCAATATTTATAATACAAAATAAAAATAAAAATAAAAATTTCATTTGATATTTTTCATAAATTTGTTTCTATGAATAATACTCACTCAATCCCACTCTTTAGATTTTGTAATAAATTAATAAATAATAATATTTTATTAATTAATAGAAGTGTATAAAAAGTTTTGATATTTTTATTTTGATTTTATATATAAAATAATTGTATGTGTAATAGTATATTTGTAATTTAAGTAAAAATTAAAAATATTTTGGTATTAGTGTATGATTATTTTTATTAAAATAAAATAAAAAAATACTTACGAGTAGATATACGAACAATAATAAAAACAATAATTTGAATTCAAACGAAAAGAATGAATTAAAAAATAAGGTGAGAATTTTACAAGCAAACACAACCATTGGGTTTCCTTTTTTTTTTTTTTTTCTTTTTTTTTTTTAATATTCAGTTGCTATGTTATCTTATAAATATTTATATTTATATATATAAAAATCATTATATCAAATAGTTATTAAAATTAAAGCTGAAACCCTTAAATAAAAATAATTCTAAAGGAAAAGAACGACGTGTTTGGTTTGTATTTCAAATTAAAATTTATACTATTTAATTATAATGATTTTTAATAAAAATATATTATTTATTTTTATAAAATATTATATCAAAATATTATTTAAATTTGCTAGAATTTGAGTTGAGATTTTGAAATAATAAAAAATTTGTTTGAAATAGCATTTAATATGAAATAAATAAATACTTGATATTTTTAAATAAAAAGTTTGATATATTTTTATGATACTTTATCTGTCTTCCAGAATTAAACAACTTTGGGTGATATAAAAACTAACAAATAATATATTTTAATATAAAAATAAAATATGTAAAAAAATAAAATAGATGTACTATGAAAAATTCATGAAATATTTTAATTGAAATTGAGGGTGTGATTTAATTATAGTGGCAAAATTATTATTATTTATCGGAGGAGGAGATTTATAAAATCGTGAATGAATAATTTTTTTTTATTTATTTACAAATCCATTGTGTTTAAATTTAGAAGATATTAACAAAAAAATTAATGTAATTTTTACAATCACAAGAGCAAATAAAACACAAAAGCTTGATTAAATGGTTTAGGGGAAGAATGATAAATAGTACTAAGACCAAATCAAATTCTTGAGTTTATTTGGAACTTTTAGCTGTTTGACCAGTAATTCAATTAATTTTAGTGTTTGGTAAATTAGCAGTTTACCTTATTGGACCCAAAATCCTAATTTAAAAAACGTTGTATATTTCAACGTTTCAGATTAGTTTTTTCATTTTATTTTTTTTTTCTATTCTTTATATGTCCTTAAAATTAATTAATTCTTCACATATGTTAATATATTTTTCATTACACTATTTATTGAATATTTGAATATATTATCTTCTAGTAACTTATTAAAACTAAATATACTTATTTATAATTATAAATTTAATGAAAGTATACATTAAATAAAAATTATTCTAATAAAAATATATATATTAATAAGTTTTGTTATTTTATATTTATATTCGTTATAATGAAAAAAATTATATCTTTCAATAAAGTTACATTAATTTTTTAAAAAACATTTAAAAAATAATAAATATAAATATTATTAATAAAATTTTTCTAATTTTTCTAATTTTTAATAATTATTAATAAAAATTTTTAAAAAATCCACCAATCGAAAAAACTCAATTAAATATTTTTAAAAAATATATGAAATGTCATTAATTATTATTTTACGTATAAAAAACTAATACAAAATTGCTATTTTATTAAACATTTTAACACAAACAACTACTATATTCAGCTAATCAAATCGACTAACAGCTAATTGTCAAATACCTCTTTGATTTGAAATTGGGTTAGTAATTCAAGTTTTAATTTAAATAGAATTTTAATTTGATATTTTTTTAAAAGAATATATTTTAATTAATAATAAAAATTTTGATATGAAAAAAAAAAAAAACACACCCAGAAAAATGCACACGGAGACTTCTAGTATAGTTTTTATTTTTTATTTTTTAAAATTTCTTCAATTCTTATTTTATTTTATTTTATGTATCCATCACAGTTTTTCTAAAAATATAATTTTACATCCCAATATTTTTATTTTGTCTAGTTTTTGTGCCATTGTTAAATAGTCAACTTTTTTTGTGATTATTTAATTATTTTTTAATTATATAGAATTATTTTATAAATCTTATTTAAAAAGGTTAAACACACACATATATATATATATATATATATAACTAATAGAAAAGTCCCAAAATTTTTAAAATATTCCAAAATTAAAAAATAGCAATTTTGAAATAAGATACATTTTCCCAATATAAATCAAAACACAATCACACCAAAAAGACACCCACCACTGAGTTTGGTTGGTGTTTTTTTTTACTATTTCTATATGTTTCTCTGGTCGAGTTTTCCCAAATTTTACTATTTGGATTGTGCATTTTTCGAAAAAAATACATTTTTTTTTCACAAAATATCATATCAAACATTATTTTTATACTAAACCGAAACTAATTTTTTTCAAAACTCATCAAAACAAACACACTTTTCTCTAAAATATTATATTTAATATTCTTATTTTAATAAAATATCATATCCAATGATTAACTTACTTAAAAAAATATTAAAAATAATAGTAAAAAGTAAGTAGTGTATTTTAAAAATTATAGTCAATATAAGATATTTAATAAGGATTTCATTTTGTAAATTATAAAATTTTATATAATATACAGTTAAATAGAAGAAATTATATTTTATGTTTGATTAACATGAATTAGTTATATAAAAATAAATTTTTTGAATGTATATACATAATTATCATATATAGTAAAAAAAAAAAGGATAAAAATCGGTAAATTGCAAGACGAAAGTTAAAGAGTCAAGCAAATACACTACATTTTTTTCCTAGGTGGACAATTTATAAATTTGTTTTGTGATTTTTAATTCAATTCCTTCTGACAGGTATCAAGAGACGATAGAGGATATTACTATGAGAATGGGCGAGGGAATGACAAAATTTATTAGTAAAGAGGTATACGTACGTACATACATACATTCACAATATATATTACTATGATTAATAGGTGTTTTGACCAAATTTAATTAATAGCTATATATATATCATTTTGGTTTTTCAGATCGAAACTTTAGATGATTACGATGAATATTGCCATCATGTGCTTGGACTTGTTGCAATAGGGATGTTGAAGATATTACATGGATGTGGTAAACAAGATATAGTTTCAGATGATCTTTGCGACGGAGTGGGCTTATTTCTTCAGGTACAATATTTGTTGAGATATATAAAATGAAAAATTATGTTCTCTTATCAGTTTTTACTATTTATTTATAGTATTTTTTTTTATTTTTTTTAAAATTTGATATGGTACATCTAATTTCCTACTAATATATCACGTGCAAAAAAAAAAAAAAAATCTATTAGAAATATCACAATTACCTATTTTTATATAAAATCAAATAATTAGTATAATTAATAATTTATACTATTTCAAAATATAAAAAAATTCCAAACTACAACAAAACAAAGGCATGAATTTCTAGCAAAATAAATGAGCATTGTATTAAACATTTTTTTACTTTCTCCCGGTAAAATATCTTCTCTTAAATTCAAAGTAATTATTTTGAAAGCTTTTTAATTTATTTTTATTCAATCATTAATATTACCAATTTAAACTTTTGCATTTACTAAAATTATTGATTATTATATACATATTTCAATTGTTATGGTATTTCTTAACGATGCTGATAAATATGCCATTTTATAGAATGAAAAATTTCAAATATTAGATTATTGAAAGATTATCTTAATGTAATTGATATCTATATTAAATGAATTCCATATATTATGTATTGAAAATAAATATTAAAAGATATGTGGTACTATCACTGATAATTTTGTATTTATAAATACTAAAAAAGTCAATATTATTTTTTACAATTATCTACATATTTATTTTTATCAGTATATTGAAAACATAACTATATTGCCTTTTTATTTTCAGTCTTTTATTTTTATTTTTTTATTTCCGAACAATTTCAACATTAATGCAGAAAATAGATATTATCAAAGATTATCTCGAAGATATAAATGAGATGCCAAAGCCTCGGATATTCTGGCCCCGTCAAATTTGGGGTAAATATGTCAACAAACTTGAGGTATATAGTTAAAAATATATTTAATGTGAATGAACTCAATATGAATGCTCGTTGGTTTTTTTTATTTTTTATTTTTTATTTTGTCATGCAATAATCCAGGACTTCAAAGATGAAGATAATTCATCTGAGGCACTACTTTGTCTCAATGAGATGATCACAAATGCTCTATTACACGTGAAGAGTTACCTAATATACATATCTTCTTTGCGTGATCCAATTATGTTTCGCTTTTTTGCCTTCGCAAAGGTAAAATTGATTTGAAGCAATATAATATTGTCTTTAGGTACACAATTTTAACTCACCGACTAAACAATAATATTAAAAAGAGTTTGTTTTTGAAAAAAGAATATAAACATTTTTAGTTTTATAAATGAGCTATATATATATATGTTAGAATTCGAGTATTTTATAGATAAAATGTTTATAATGCCACTTAGGTAATGAAAATAGTCGATGTGTGACATGGAGGCCTCACACATTACTACTTTCCATTGCTCAAAGTAGTAACAATCATTTGAATAATTGGTGTCATAAAATTAGAACAAAAAATTAAATATGGTTTACTTTCTATACTAAATATATAAATGTATTTAGTTGGTGTTTTTTTATTTTTTATTTCTTCGGGATTTTAGTTTTGATTTTGGTTTGAATAGTAGTACAGATATAATATTTTACAAGATGAAATAGTATATATATATATTTATAGACATGCACACAACACAACGAGTCATTCTAGATTGGTTTTAGAAATATTTTCGTCAACAATATCAAATAATGTGAGATGAAATTTAGTAGGCCATCCAAACATTTAAACTTATTTAGTTTTTTGTTTGTTTGTTTTGAATGTTTTTTTAGGTTAAATAATTATTTGATAAAATCTTTTGTACAGGAATTGAGTCATGAGTATGATGCTTTTGGAGGAAAGTTAAAAAGATTGAATAGTAAATATTCTATATTCCGAGTAAATTAAGAAACTCAATTTTTTTGCTCTTTAATATTTATGATATCTGCAGGTGGCTGGAATTGCAACATTAGCTTTGTGCTACAATAACATTCAAGTATTCCGAGGAGGCGTGGAACTGAGATACGGTAGGTATATTACATCAAATATTGCAAGTTTGGTTATTAGATATACATTTTTGATTATTATTATTAGTATCATTCAATTCAGAATAGTCATATCTTTTCAGTTGCCGTATATTTGAAGTTTTATTTTAAAATCTCTCGTGATAGTCATATAATATTATAATATAGGAATTTTAGAATTGAAAACTCACAAAACTAGAACTTACTTAGCTAAAATATAACCTTGCAAAATTATATAACAAAAGTGATAATCGATGATATAATTTCCTCCAATTTCTACATTGCCATTGATGTTTTGCTAAAGTATATTAGGCTTATATTTTAGTTAATTTAAATAGTTATCATCTATGTAATATTCTCTCGGTCTCTTTTGTATGTATTCGATTATTTTTATTAGGCAAATTAAGGAATATATGATAAGTAGTGTATAAGAGTGCATTGTAGTAAAACAATATTAAAAGTACAATTGAGATATTGTAAAATTTTTTTAAAAAATATTGGTAATTTGATCATGAAATCCAAGATTGTTTTATTACTTATATGAGGACCATTTACTAAATTGTAATATATATATATATATATATTGATTTCAACACTCCATAATATGGTAAAATAGATATATTAATCTTGTACGAGGGAGTATAAATATTATTTAATCATATTGAAACAAGTGTAGAAATAAATAAAATTAGTCGAGCTTTCATTAATTCGTATGTGAATATTTTGTGTCCAAATTATATTTATTCATCACTTACGATATAAAACTCTTGTCATTTGTGGGCTTCTCTATGTTCCACTGCTTCACTTATTTTTGTATTTACTTATGAAAGATTCATTGTTGGATTTTTTCTAACATGATTCGACACGGATGAGTGCAATACTCTCACACATAAGATTCATCCACTATCTCTCTCTTTGAACTAATACTTAGTTAGCTTCAATACATTTTTGTTTGGATTATATTTTATTCGTTTAAATAAACTATAAAACATATTTCGTATACCTTTGGGGTGTGGTTGCGAGATTATGTATAATTTTAGGTATTAATCAAAACATAAATAATATAGTTAGATAGAGTCATTAAGGTAGATATATTATTTTATCCTAGTATCTTTTTACTCTAATGCATTATTGGAATCGAGATAGTAATTTATAAGATTATTATTTTCTATTTAGTAAATACTATAAATAATTTCTTAAATTAGAATTGTATAAAACTATAGTCCCACTTTTTCTAGTAAACACTCAATTATTATTATTATTATTATCCTCTTCTTTTTCAGGTCTTGTCGCTAAAATTTTCTACAGAACTAAAACAATGTCTGATGTGTATGATGGTTTGCATGACTTCTCTCTTATACTAAAATCCAAGGTATGTTGCTATGGGCTTACTCTATTTTTTACTCATATATATATTGTCGTGTTTTGTTATTTTCTATTTATACTAAAGACGGTTTATTTTAAAAAATTAATAATTTTAAATACTTGACTTTTTATACTTTAGTGATGGATAGATTTCACTTAATGTTTAAATAGGTGAAAATAATAATTTTTTTAGTAAACAATAGAGAAGTTCGGAATAATATTTTTAAAAACACAAATAAATCTGACGTAATTTGTAAATAACATGTGAAAATAACATGTATTGAATCATATACAAAATGTATTGAACTATATTAAACATACCGTCATCCATGGAACACTAAAATTTTTTGGGTTAGGTACAAAATTTGTTGAACTATCTAATTCTTCAATAGAGGTGCTAAATTTTGTTGTTTTATATATTACTGCTGTTCGGTTTCCAATTGAGGACTTTCCAGATCAATGATAATGATCCTAATGCGAGAGAGACGAAAGATCGAATAAACAATATTTTGAAAATCTGTGGCGATTCTGGAACTTTAAACCGAAGGTTTGCAATTATTCACAATTTTCATTATCATCTTTTTCGTGGATAAATTTTCTTGTGGACAGCTTAATCAAAATTTTGATTTGTTGTTTGCTACTAGGAATTCTTACATCATTTAGATCAACCGGTGTTGTGTCCATGGAAATTATGCACAGGTTAGTTTGTTACTCTATTTTGTTTCTACAGTTTCGTCAAGAGAATTATTTAAAGTTCAATGTATGCTTTGATGCAGGTTCATCTTCTTCATCATATACTTGACCTTTGGATAGAGACTGGAATACATACTATGTCATTTTAGAATAAATGGTGTATTATGTTGTTCCTCGAAATAATCCAGCATGAAAAGTATCGTTTAAAAGTATGAAAATATTATATAAAATTATCTATGGCGCCATTTTAGTACTGAAAGTAAATGGCATTGTCTTTTTTATTTTTTATTTTCCTATGAGTGTAAAAGTATCAGTTTCAACAAACTTAGCATGAACATATACAAATTCTCACTAAATTAGTGTGTTCTTTTGTATTTGTATTTTTATTTATGTATTTTGATGTTTTTATTGTGAAAAAAAAGTTGTTTAATGTAATATTTTGTACGATAAATAAGTATTATATGTGATTTAAAAATAAATAAATAAATAAAAAGAGTGAATGGTAAAAAAATTGAAAATAGATATTAATCCCAAATGATTTGTCTACCATCATGGATGATTAAGGATTTGCAGAGGAAGGACATAGAACAAAAAAAATACAAAATTTGGTTGTGTTCTTGTATTTCTTCAAAATTTAGAGGATTTGTGTTGTTAGTTATTAATAATTGTGAAAGTATCTTAACAAATTCTTATATTATTTGACTGAATTACTTTTAATTTTTAAAATATTTTATATAAAAAAATATGTTTTTATTGAAATATATGAGTTTTGTTTTTTTTTTTTTTTAGCATGGTGTATAGGATTTTAATAATATACCATTAAAAATTATTTCTTTTTTTTTTTCCTTAGGAAAAAAACGTGTTTTGTTTTGTTTAAATATAATTTGTTTATTAGTATAATATATTAAATTTTAAAGTAATATTTACGGAAGTTAATTTATATGATTTTGTTTTCAACTATAATACGAACAATAATATATATATATATACATATATACATGAGATGCTTTTCAACATACTCTAAATTTAATATTCAGACTGCAATCGCTGCTATACATAGCACTAAAAGAAAAATTTCAAAAAATTTGTTTGTTAACTTTCCTTAATGCCTGTATTTTGTATTTTAATTTTTAATTTAAATATTTTATTGAATGTAAAATTATATAAAAAAATTATAACAATTATATAAAATTTAAAGTAAACTGAGCAGAAATACCCAAAAATATCCAAAAATTAATACATACCGACTTTGCATGCATGAGAAAATTACACAATTTTCGTGTTTGGTTCACTATTATTATTATTTTTGAATTTATGTTTTGATTCGAACAATAGTTTGTATGTAATATTTTGTTAGAGAAAATAATAGTATAGTTTTAGGTAAATTTGCTCATAATTCCCATGTGGTTTCAAAATTCTACGTAAAATCTCCTTATACTTTAAAAATTGTATGACACTCCCTTATACTTTCAAAAGCGTTGCATGAAACCCCACGGCCATGGAATCTCCCTTTTTTTTTGATCGGAGCCATGGAACCTCCCTTGTGTGATGAGAATATGGTTTCTTATCTATATTTTTTGCATGGCGTGGAGTTTCATGCAATATTTTTGAAAGTATAAGAAGATATCAAGCAATTTTTTTTAAAGTAAAGTGGGGATTTACGCCGAGTTTCGAAACTATAGAGAGATTTCATGCAATATTATTTAAAGTATAAGGGGGCGCCATTCAATTTTTAAAGTAAATGGGGGATTTACACTGAGTTTCAAAATTACAAGAGAATTATGGGCAATTTTGCCATGATTTTATAATAAATCAAGAAAATTGAATACTAAAAAATTGAAAAAAATGACCAAAAGAACAGTAAATTTATTCTTTCAACATTTATTTCCTATAAAAGTACTTTAATAAAATTAGTTAATCGATTAATTAAGTTGTTGAGCTCTAATTTTGAATTTCAGATACGACTCATTGAGAGACTAGCCCAATTTTGGTCTGGCCCAAGGACAGCCTAGTCGGTTGTGGGCCGAGGTCCAAGTGACTGAACACAAGCCTAAGCATGAGTGACCGAAAATAAATGGGAAAAATGAAGTCGGACAACATAAATTCTGTTGCCGAAATTATAAGGCCGTGTTGGTACGAGTTGTTGGGTTGAAAAAAGTGGCTATTGAAAATGGTCGAATAGCAAGCAGGTCTGAGGGCATTGCAACTGCCGTCCTGAATTCGTAGGGTCATGAAGCAGAGAACTTCTAGCAGTAGCAAACGATTGGAATAACCGGACTAAGGGGTTTAAGAGTCGTTTTGAGGATGTCTATTTAAAGCATTGCCAATAACGAAGGCCAACATCTTCAATTCCAATCAAAATTTTAAGAAAAATTCTATTGGGGATCATTACTTTATTTTATTGCATATTTACCCGTTTTATTTAGGTAATATGGTCCGGTGCTTAGAGATCTACCATCTCAATCCCAATTATCCAAATTCAAAATTATTTTCGAATTCTACTTTATTTTTGTTGGAAATCTAATTAAATAAATTGGCTACCACAGTAGGAGTAAAGACAAAATTGTTGATCCTATATCAATTTCATATGCCTTCGATCCGGCCGAATCAACGGAAGGATCCATATGGAAAGTTCAGTCTCAGTCACATACTTCCAACACTTTTATTGGAGTCACTACGTCAATAGCCTCGTCTACTATACCAACTCCAGGAGGGGTGGTCCAGGTACCAGCAAAATAACTAACGTATGTTCAGCAGATGTACAATAAGTAAACAACAGTAGTGCAGACTATGTTGCATAATAAAAAAAAAATATGATGCAAAATATGCTCGACCAAGCCCTATCGAGAGTAATCCTGCAGTCCATTGCTATACCACCAGGGATGTCACCCTCCTGACTTCAGGCGAATTTTGCCGGTCTATCCTTTGTGGGTAGTACTATTCCAAGTGTTACTGCCCTCAATAGGATGGATAGAGGAAAAACTTCTCTTACTTATCCCAACAACATCCTATTGGGGGAAAGATCGGATGTCATCCCACTGATTTATCCACAGGAGGAAAGACCAGGAGGACAGACTCACGATCTTATCTTTATCCATGACCATCCACCATTAAGGGTTGATTGTGAAGAGGTTGGGAAAGTGTTGGCGATGCATATCGGAATGAATCCCTATATGGCAACTAAGCCAACCTATCAGAAGCCATTTCCAGAAAGGATCATCAATGAGCACCTTTCTCGAGAAACTGTTGACCTCCCGATTTTCATACATTCTCCGAAGAAGACGGAGCCTCAACCGTCAAACATGTCGGAATGTTTATAGCCCAGTTAGGAAAAATTAGGAATAATCCTTATTTTAAGCTCCAACTTTTTGGAATTCCATTAAAAAAAACAACATTCTCATGGTTTGCGAACTTGCACCCAAGGAAAATACAGACTTGGGAAGGTCTGGAAGTTGCATCCATGCACGGTTTTTAATCATGTCCTAACGGTTTCCCTCATGGACCTTTTGGAAATAAGAAAAATGCCAAAAGAAAGTGCCCATCAGTTTATCGAGCGAATTAAGCTGATGAAGGAATGATGTCTGACTGCCATAGATGACGAATAGATAACCAACCAACCTTATGGTCTGAAAAATGCATAACTCATATGCGGAAAGCCTTAACTGCCTATGACATTGATAATCTAGTACAATTAGCTTCCAAAATAAGTCAGTTGGAGTCATTGTCAATGAAAAAGATCAAAGTCTCAGGAGTACAACGATACGACAGATGGAGAGTATGGAGTCCGAGATATACCCCCCGAATTTTGACAGACCAAGCGAGGTAGAAGAAATGGTTGCTGAAATCGTCAAGGGGAAGCCATATGTGTGTCCAAAACTTAAGCCCATATCCGGGATGGAGGCCAAAAAAGATCACCCATGTTTGATGGCCAAATTTGGATACCTAGAGGGCAACGAATGACAACCAAAGAGGAAATCGAAGGTAGGACTTATTGCAAATAACATAATTTTGTTTACGTACGGTACAAGTCATTGTACACACTTTCAGAAAGATATTCAAAAGACTATCAAAGAGGAACTACTAAAGTATGTTACCTTGGGAGTTGAACAACAATCATTTCCGAAGGTTACAGTAGTGACCATGGCTACTAGGCCTAGTCGAGAAGGTCATAAGATCACAGACAAAAAAAAACCCAAAAGAATAAAGGGCTCAGAGTGTGCGAGGGTCGGGTATTCGAGAAATGGGACCAATTATACGGATCGTACAAAGTGGAAGTCAAAGAAAAGATCTTGGTGTAAGACTAACCGATGTGTAAGCCTCATCATACTAATCTAGATAGATGGAGTCGGAACAGAAGACTCCTACCTACCAATACCGACCCTCGATTTCCAGGCATGAATTGTACTCAAATTCGTGATGCCAATACAGGTATGTCTTTATCCGGAGACAGTAACCTGCCCGTGATGTAGCTGGTTTCAAAGAAGGGAAGACCCTGCAGATCCAACCCAAGTTAGAAGTTTCAGTTGATACCGAGAGCGACGAAGGGATAGCTAAGAGAGTCTATGATAACGAGGCTACGTATTCAAAAACTCTAAATAAAAAGGCTAAGTGTTTTAGGTGCCAGTTCTATCATCGTATTAACATTGACTAAAAAATGAAGGATATTGAATGGTCTCTAGAAATCTCTTTTGGCTCATTCTTTCTGTCTGAAATCAACTTACTTATAAGGTTCAAAAGACTGCCATCGGAAGCAAACAAAGGTAAGTTTCCCACTGATTCTTCGAAAAATATCCATTATCCTTTTCAGGTTAGGATGACGGGAATGTATGTATGCGAGGAGGAGCCGATTTTAGCTTGTTTTTTAGATGAGACTATAAAAGAGTTGGAATGGGCATCTTTAGCCATTTCGGACTCAGCGTCGGACACTCCACCTCCAATGGTGTTCGTACCAATTTCGGAAAGAATGACCCCACATCTCAAGCACTCTATGTGAGTCCTTATATCTTTGGAAAAGTTAGTTGATAAGGTGTTCATCGAAAATAAAGCAGTCTTCAATGTTACACCGCTTATAACCCTAAAAAATCTAGGTAAAAGAGTGTCCGATCTAGTCTTGGTGGATATCAAGATGACTAGTTTTACAGGACAGCCGACCAAGCGGGAGGGCATGATGGCCGCCTCGATTGAAGTGGGGCCAAAAACTATTTCTACAGTTTCTTTATCGTAGATGCAGTCACAAAATATTTGATGCTGTTAGGAAGGGACTAGATTCACGCATTTCAATGTGTGCCACCCTCACTACATCAACAACTGATGTTTGGGGAAATAGATTGTCTAACAAGGATTTGATAACTAAATAGATTGTCTTACTATAGTTGATGTAAGTATTGACGAGTGTAGATAATTAATAAGTATTATGTTAATAAGTTATTTTTTCGATAGTACGGGTTGGATACCAAGGTGCAGATATGTAATGAGGGCCAATTCAGAGGGCCCGACCTCTTGAAAAAGATAGCCATCTTTCTTGGCTCAGGACCCATTGATAGAATACAATTTAGAGTCCGAAGAAGCTCCAAGGAAAATCTGTGTCAGCGGGCTCTTCCCCATTCACCAACAGAAAGAGTTGGTTGCCTTAATTCAAAATCATGATGATTGTTTGGCTTGAGATTATTACTAATATCTATCTTGGATAAAAATCTGATTGAGCATCGGGTACCCATCAAGGCAAAACTACCATAAATTAGGCTTTTTGTAGTGGAGACAAAGCCGATACAAATGCTCATTTTTCAACACAAGAAGCCTTTTGTGTCGACTTTGTAACAAATTTTGACCGCTACAAAATATTAACAAAAAGTCTCTGTAACGGTACTTTCTGTAACAAAAAGTTGATGGTCAACGCCCATATTAGACATGTGCTAAATTCATTTGTAACGGTTTAATTCATTTTTGTAATAAAATTATCTGTTACAAAATGCATGTATTATTTCCTTTCATCGTGATAATTTTTATAACAAAAGGGACGTTAGAAATACTTTAATCTCGTTAGAAAATGTATTTGTTACGGAAACTAGCCGTAACAACAAAAATTGTTATATTTTCTACTGATTGTAACAAAACTTTTTGTAACGACCCAACAAAAATAACAAAAATAATATTATTTGTTTAGAATTATTTCATCACAAATAACATAAAACCTATTTTTTTTTTATACCAAATACAAAAAAATATACAAAGTGGCGCCGATCCAACAACGTTCTCCGACACGCCAATAATATAAATACAATGTTGTTCCCGACAATCATGCCAAATGAGCACTATACGTATACCCAAAATATCCATCATCTAAAAGATTAAAAAATGCACAAAAGCATAAATTCAATACGATCGACAATAAGTTTTCAATCCTAGATAGACTCATGGGCAAACATGGTTGTTGTTCTGCAATCTCCAGGAAGGCATTTAGGGTCTTGACGAAGCAACTGTAATAAAATATTAAGTTATATAAAATATCAATTTCCAAATGATAAATACAAATCATAAAAACTTCATACATATTGCACAAGAAAAGACTTCCCCTAGCTTAACACATTAAACCAATCAAGAATATAGTATACACAATGAAAAAGTATAATAAAAATTTTCTATCAAATCCTTCTATGGACCATCTATTAAATGTAAAACTAAAACATAACATTTGATAATCCATCACATAAATTAACCAAAACAATATTTGGTTCTATTCAATATATAACATTGATACTCCATCACCTAAATTAACCAAAGGAATCTTTTGTTCCATTAAATAGCATTAGATGATAACTTCAAAAATAGATAAGATATTATAAAACGATCTATACTCCACAAAAGAATAATCATCATCATCAGTACAATGATATTAATATTAAGGATGAAGTTAAATCAAACATCTAATATACCTATCTTCTTGGTAGGCCAGCAAGGTTCAATTTCACATTCTGCTGCTGAGATTCTATAACTGATGTAGTTGGTGTGGAACGATCAACAGAGCGGTGAACTTGCTAGTTCCAAACTTGCATGCATAGAACCTAAGTCTGGCAGAAAACAATTGAGATGACCTATATTGTATGGACATGTCCTCACTAGATTCAAGTCGTATGGCGTCAATCAGAAGACAAAAAAGAATTCCAAATTAAAAATATGTACAACGAATAACAATGATTGAAAAAAATAAAGAAAAGTTCAGTGCAGTAAAGTATGCAAAGAAGAATTATTCTATCACTAATAGCACAATAGCACAACATCAAAATATCATTAGTTAAACCATATCTTAAGATATTTGAAATTTTCTAAAAACAACATATGAATCAAGAGGAGCATTATAATTGAAATAGGATGAGAGGTAGAGAGGAGGGTAGACATGTCTCTTTCAAAATGCTCCCAAATCTTTCGCTAACCTTTGAAACTAGATCTTGTGAAATTTGATTTCCATTCACATCAAAAAGTGAGAAAAATAAGAGCAATATCTATGAATTAACACAGAATTATAGAATTCGGAATGTGTAAGGTGCAAAAGAACTGACACGGTCATACCTTTCTAAATCATGATCACAAAGAACAAAGTTCTCTTCACCTATAACAATTATAGAAAGAGATTCTGTTTGAAAGGTTGAGTAGCGAGAGCTTGAAAGAAAAACATATTCAGATGTTAATTTGGTATTTGAGAGATTCAACTTTCCACAAGCACAAAACAAAAAAGTTTGAATTTGCATCACATACATCAAAAGAAAATTATTAAAATTTACTTTAAAGTTTCACTTACAAGTAACAAGTATGACCTTATTTTTACACAAATGTATCATCTATATCCAAGGGAACCTAAATCTAATTATTGAGTTTATTCACTTGTTACTCCTAAACGATTAACCATTTATTGATGTCCCACATAATAAATTTGTGAATTGGCCACCATAAACAATTTATCAATTGAAAAAAAATAGTTAACAAACAACACCATTATAAAACTAATAACCACAATATCTTGATAGAGAAAATGCACCAACTCATCATCACAGATAAAGAAGGGTAAGTTTCTTTATCTTTTTTCTAACCTAATACCATTATTTTCAAATCCTAAACTCCAAATAAAAAAATCAAAACCAAAACATATTTATCTCCTAAAAGTTTTCAAATCCAAAACATTCAAACATACCCAAAGTGTTTTGCTAACTCTTAAATAATGATATTGAGTTTATTTTGGCTTACGCTTCAAAGTTGTTCTGACATGCACTTGGGTACTTAATTTCTTGATCAAAAGATAACACCATTTCACAATAATTAATACTTAAGAAACAAAGCTCAACTACAAGACCCTAGGTGAACGGAAAACAATAAGAAGGAAAAGTATTCCCTAAATAAGTATCACTTACCATATTTGATAAGCTGGCCTTCAAACCCTTATCCATGCTTCCCAGAGTCCATATGGTATTTGAGCATGATTCGAATTTGTCAACCAACTGGCACAACATTGAAATTAATATCACACATTGAGTGGATAAACATTTCTACATGTGCAGAATGCATCTACTTGCAAAATAAATGACATTCTAGTATTAACTTTGAATTCATTTCTCAAAAATAAAAATTTATTAGTTTCATTATTAACACCCTACAAGTTGATTTGATGCCCTCAAAAATAGGGAAAGACCTCTCTCCAAGAAATTTCTATTTATTTACAAGTATCTAAACCTAAAACCAAATCCATTGCCTACACATGACCTTAGTTATCACAAATAATACAGTAACCTTAGTGTGATCACTTCTGCAATCAAATATTATTTATGCACACAATCCACTACTTCAAGTCATACTTCAACTAGATTCTTAGATCGTAAAACTTCAATCTTTGTAAGTCATCATCATGACAACAACCCTTTATGCATATCAATTTGCATGATTTTTTATTATAATTGTATAAAATAAGAAGGACATGCTATTAGGCAAACCAATGGAGCTTCATTCACTAATACTCTTATATAGTGTGGTGTTTCCACCCTATTGAAGTGAATCACATCAAGCATTAGTACCATATACATCTTTTATGTAATTCCAACTTGAGCATTCATGTTAATGGTCTTCTTTTGTTGAGGGAATGGGGAGAAGTGGATACAAAAAATAAGGGAACCACATGAATGCAAAAATCTTAAAGGACAACATTGAAGAGCATGCAAAATCAAGAAACAATTTTTTTAAATCTAATTTCTTCGTTTTTTTCCAAAATTTTTACTAACATTTCTCACACTGAAAGTTGATCCAAGTGAAAGAGTGATGAAAAAAAGCATTTGAAATAACAAATTAGAGTTAGTAGGAACAATTTAGGAATATGTCAATTGATTGTACTGGTATGTGATACAATGTCTCATTCCCTAAGTGTATAAGCATATTATGAAATGAAATGAAAATACACACTTTTTTTTGCTATCAAACTAAATTAGTACCTGCAGTAAGTCAATTTTGTGTATAGGTTAAAAAAAAAAAACAAAGAGAGAGAGAGATTACACGTACACAAGCTATTTGGTCTTTTACATGGTATACCTTTTGATACCTGTAAAAGAACATAAATAAATAAATCCATTAAACTAAAGCAACAAAATTGAGCAAATGTAACTTAACATATGTGAAATCAAACAAATAGAGAGGCTTGCAGTCATAATGCAGAAAACACTAGACTAATATTGCTTTTTTATAGAAGCACAACTACATTAAGTCATGTGTGTTTTTTATATATATATATATATATCAATAGATAGGGCTTGTTTGAGAGGGCTTCTTTCCATCAATACTTTTTGAAATCCGGGGCTGATCAACCTCATTGATATCAACTCTTTTTTGGATATTTATGGGGGCAACTTCAGTGAGGTCGTTCGAGGACTCACCGTCACAAGAATCGTCTAAATCTGAAGAAGCAGAGGAGGAGACTGTCTCTTGATTCATGACATGAGTATTCATAGCACTGTATTTAGATTTTAATTTTTTCTTAGCCATTGAATGGAGCTGAAGAACAACAGCATAATCACAACATGATGCTCACAAAGTACATACCACCAGAAATAAACCAGGGATGTGTAATTTGAGATTCACATAAACCACTCAAAAAGAGAGAACCAAAGGAAAGGAATAAGGGAGAAAACTCAAATACAATCCAAGGCCACACCAGGCCACCACACCACGGCCACACCAGGCCAACCTCAAAGGCTACACCATGTCACCATGCCACCCCAAGAGGAAGAGAGGAGGTTACTTGAACCTGGGAGTCGCCGTAGCAAAGAATGACAGAATCACTGGAAAATGATTGTCACCGGAAAGCAGTCGAGCTTAGGAGAAAAGACCAAAATACACCGGGAAACTGAAATTAGGGAGAATAAGAGCCCTATACCACTGTATGCTGGTTCAAGGAGCCACCGGAAATTTGACGCACTGAACCCTAGTCCTTGACTATCGACGGGTCTTTAAGAGAGAATAACAGACTTAAAAAATGGAGCAAAACCCTAGGCCAGAGAAGGGAAATGGCGGCTGAGGTCTGAGGGAACCGCACCGATGATGGCCCCGATAGGGCTGAGAGGTGGAACCCATAATCGCCACAAAATCTCCCTTGAGGGAATCTTCTTTTAATAATCATATATACTCTTAAGATTGCTAAGTGTTGTGTGAGGAGAAAATGATAACATGGTAACTTAATGATGAATGTATTTGAAGAAAACGTCAAAAATATTTTCAACAATTTTAATTTGAAGATATTTTTTTAATGTACAACCTTTTGTTTTATATTAATTTTTTATTTAAATGATTTTTAATTTTTTGTTTCGGATTGAAAAGCGTAATAAATATATATAACAACAGATCATAATATTTGTATTTGTTACAAATAAATTATTGAAAAAAAAATGTTGACTAAAGTAGTTATTTTTTTGTCACGACCTATTTCATTACAAATACTACTATTTGTTTCGGAACTATTGTTACGGATTAAATATCCGTTATAAATAGTCTATTTTCTAGTAGTTCAAGGTTCAAACCGTATAAACTGGCCCCGCAACGTGTTAGTCCTGAGCTGATGTCCCAAATCAAGAAAGAAATAGAGAAACTACTCAAGGTTGGTTTTATTCGAGCGTGTAGATATGCAAAATGATTTGTCAAAATCATTGCAGTCACGAAAAAGAATGGCAAAATGTGAATTTGTATCGAATTTAGAGATTTAGATTTGGTTACACCAAATGATGAGTACGTCAGCCAATGACGGATATGTTGATTGATTCGGCTGCAGGCCACCAAATCCTTAGTCTTATGGATGAATATGATGGATACAGTTAGATTTTCTCGGCTGAGGAGGACGTCCAGAAAATGACATTTAGGTGCCCGGGAGCACTTGGTATTTATAATGGACCATCATGCCTTTCGGGTTAAAGAATTCAAGAGCAACTTATCAAAGAGCGATAAATGCCATGTTTCACGATCTCATCGGTCACTCCATGGAAGTCTATATCAATGATGTTATTATGAAGTTGGCTAGTTTTGAGGAGCACTTGGTTGATATTGGGAGAACATTTGTTATGGTGAAAAAGTACAATTTGAAGATAAATCAAACCAAGTGCGCTTTTGGCGTGTTGGCTGGAAGTTTCTTGGGGTTTTTAGTACATGAAAGTGGTATTCAGATTGATGAGAATAAGGCAAAGGCCTTCTTGGGTATTCGGACACAAAGGACCACCAAAGAGATTCAAAGCGTCTTAGGGAAGGTCAATTATCTGAGGAGGTTTATATCAAATAAAACAAGAAAAATGAAACCAATCACCAAGTTACTAAAAGTAAAGTCCTCAGGCATATCATGGGGACATGAGCAACAACAGACGTTTGATTCAATCAAATAAGCATTGACTGAACCATCAGTATTGGTTCATCCCGAAGGGATTGGCCGCTCAAACTCTACTCGGCGAATACGCACGATGTTATTAGTTGCTTACTGGCACAAGATTTGGATGATGATAAAGAAAAAATTATCTATTATTTCAGTAAAATATTGGCGGGTCCGGAGTTGAATTACACTGCACCCGAAGGATGTATTATCCGTTGGTGCATGCATACATGAAGTTCGACGGTTCACTACCAGAGAAGGCTCGGGTGCAAAAGTGATTTTGGAAGGATCTGATTCACAATAAATTGAACTCTATTTGCAGTTGGAGGTAATGACACATAATTCAGCAGAAGATGAAGTTTTGATTATGGGTTTAGAAGATTTGATCAAGAAGGGCATTTATTATGTGGTTATTAAAGGGGATTCATAGTTGGTGGTAAACCAAGTTCTCCGAGTGTATATGTGTAACCCGACGCACTTCAGGAAGTATATAATGATGGTCCGACAGTTGTTAGCGAATATATCATAAGTAACCATTGAGCATATCTTTAGGATAGAGAACCGTCAAGTAGTCGATTTAGCCCAGAATGCCCACAGACCGACGGTAGCCGACCACTTCATGATGGAAGTCAGAACATCTGGTGATTGGAGGGCAGAGATAACCTCTTATTTGAAGAAACCAAGCCTTACGGTATCGGTTGGGGTGTGACTCAAGGCCCTTCGATTCAAACTAATAGGAGAATTTCTATACAAAAGAATGTTGGATGAAATTTTGTTGAGAAAGTACATGGTGATATCTGAAGTACTCATCGAGTAGGTCTGAATATGAGATGGGCCATTCACCGGTTGAGATATTACTGGCTGAAATTTTTTACAGATTGTGTCCGATTTGCCAAACGGTGCAAGAATTGTTAAAGGCATGACCTTTTGAATCATCTACCAAGTATTGAACTTCAGACAATTATCAAGCCATGGCCATTCAAGGCAAGGGCCATTGACATAATTGGTAAGATAAATCCAAATTTTCTAAATATCAATGTTTTTTACGATCGCAACTAATTATTTCCCTAAGTGACTAGATACAATACCACTCAAGAATGTCATCCGAAAAAAAGCTTCCGAGTTTGTGTTAAACCATATTATCTATTGGTTCGGGATTCCATATTTGGTTATTACTAATCAGGGCTTAACATTTCTGGCGAGAAGTTTGTGGGGTTTCTGGCTGATTTTGGCACTAAATTAGCACTAAATTACATCATTCCTCACCTTACTATCTGCAAGAAAATGGTCAGGCTAAGGCAGCCAACAAGATCATTATTAACATCATTAAGATGATATTGGTTGACAACCCTAGAAAATTGCATGAGTTTTTGCCACAAGCCTTGCGGGCTCATCAAAATAGTAAGAATTTGGACACTGGTTTTTTACCGTATAAGCTCACATTTAAGTAGGATGCGGTTTTTTCGGACAAAATTAAAGTTCCAATGGTCCAAAATGAGTTTACTATAGCTAAGATGAATGAAGAACAAAATAGGAAATAATGCAACAATTGAAGTCCTTTGATATTGCACGGTTGGAAGCGATTGATCACATGATTAAGGAAAATCAGATTCGTATTAAATATTATGGCAAGAAGATTATTTTTTAATATTTTAAAGATGTTGATGTAGTGTTGAAGACTATCTTTCGTACCTATAAGAAGATTGATCAGTTCAGAAAGTGGTCCTGAATTGGAAAGGGCCATAAATATAGAGAAAAATCGAAAATGAAGCTATTGTTATTATCAACCAAAAGAGAAAAAACTAGTACATGAAAATATTAATGCTAAATATTTGAAAATCTATTATCCTTCATTTTCAAGATAATAGGTTGAGTAATTGAGACACTTTCTTTGGAACCAAAGCGAGGGGTCGACAGAAGTCCTTATTTAGTCAGCGTGAGATATGACGATGCATGGATTGTCTTCTTCAGATTCGGAGCCATCTCCCCATTGATTGGGCAAATAAACTGGTTCTTTATTAGAAGGTCTTTGAGGTAAGGACAGTATCATTCCATTGTTTTCGTATTTCTTTAAGGTCTTACTTAGTCTGCTCATTCATATTATCAAGGGGTCAACATTCTCTGTCTATAAGAGCATAGAGTCGGGAGAAGAGCCCTCTGTTGAGAAAAGACACTATTCTAGCTTAGTTCAGGTGACACTGCCATAATATGGTGCTCAATCATATCCATATAGTGGTTTAAATCGGGAATTTGACTCAAGATGTCTTTAAGGGTTTGTAACTTTCTACAACACGTTCCATTTAGTGAGTGACTCAATGCATAGTCTTTTGGCCCTTTAGGGAGAATTTAAACATAAATTTGAGTTGCTTAAGTACTTGGAGCAGGTCCTCAGCATGTCCACCAACTGGGCGTTGTACAATTAGGAAATGCTGAAAAGAATTTTTCCAATTTATGCTGAGAATACAAATCCGTGGAGAGGACATTGTGAAGATTTGTTTTGGTGAGTCATAAGGTGGTATTTTGTGTCAAATGAGCAATGGTTGGTGTAAAAGATTCAGGGATTGTTTTCTGGCTTTTGGGAGCGCTAGAACTCATTCCACAATATTTGGCGGGTTTACATTTCGGAAGTGGTGCTGGTGGATCAGATGATGGTCCACGGTGAGGCCTAGGCATGACTACAGAGGTTGGAAATAAAACCTTCATACACTTAGAAATCGGCTTCCCGACGATTGCCCATATGAGTTCTCACCACTCCATGAAGTCTTCGATGGTTTTGGAGGTAAGTTGGAAGGGGTGTAAGAGTAGGAGGTTATATAAATATAAAGGGCATCGATCTGGGGTTTGATTTGGTGGGATCGGGCTAGATCAGTGGGGTTTATGAAGATGAAGTGACGACGAGAGACAAGACCGGGGAAGCCTTGATGGCAGCCTAATTGACGGGCAAGGTATTGGGGCTAGTAGTGGTAGGGAGAGGGTAAGGAAAAAAATGGAAGGTCTGTCAAAGAAAATGACATGGTTTCAGTAGGAGTAATATGTGATTTCGGTTGGGTCAGTCTAGATGATGTAATGAATGGTATCTTGGGGATGAAGGAAGTGGTTGCGATCGTGAAAAAATTGGAGAAGGGAATGACCCAACATTCTGCAGGGTCTGGAAAAATGGAAAATCAATGAAAAAAATGGAAGAAAAGTAGAGTTGAAATAAGAGTTTTAGGAACCAAATAGTCGAACACATGGTATCAAGTTTGGCCTTTCTAGATAGGCTGATGCTAGCTTTGGCAAGATTTTAAAAAAGTTTAGCTAAGAAAAGAGTTTCCATTGACAAAAATCGGCCTTCGGCCAAATGAATGGCAATATCTAAGTGTGCATATGTAATGAATTTTGAGAACGGACAAACAACATATCTGCATAGTCAAAACAAAATGAAGGTGATGTGCTTCTTTTTGGTCACCGGTGTATTGGGTTGGCTGCAATGCACCTCCGTGAACGAACCCCAGACAATGATCTTGGATTTTTGTTTCCTTAAAGCTCACTTGGGGTGGTAGGAGGAGATCTCCTCCCCATCCAAGGTCCCGACCACAAGATTCTCATCCAAAACTGGTAGATGAGCTATAATCGACATGCCCAAAAGTGTTGGGCTGATTGTGCCAGAAGACAACAAGAAAAGTGCCCACCTTGATATCCAAGAAAGTGGCAATCCCAAGGAGAATAATGTCGTGAAAGTTGAAGATTTGGGTGGAGAAGAAAATTGCTTTGTCCAACCCCTGGAGTCGCCA